GTGTGTGTGTGTGTGTGTGTGTGTGTGTGATTGCGAGGACTCACCACACAGGCCTCGGGTGGGCACAGATGCATTGCTGGGGGCATTGTACAGCAGCACCATAATCCCTGTGCTGTGATACCACTGTATGCTAATGCGGCCAGGTGTGTGGATCAGGTACATGCTGCCCGTGTCTTCCACATAAAACGAGTGACGGGAAAATGGGAGCTTTGCAAGCCTGTAGTTTACTGTTACCTATAGATACATAAACAACAACAAAACATAACATTTTAATGAAAAAATTATTAATTTTTTTGTTTCTGTTAGATAAAGTTTAACCGACAGCTCAGATGGTTTGAAGTGGGAATCAGTGGATAGGTTTTGAACAATTAATATCTTACCTGTTGTAGATAGATTTTAAATTACCTCAGTTTGGGGGAAATAAGAGTTTGATCATGACTGTATTGACCAATTAAAGAATAGTCTTAAAAAACATTTTAAAAATATCAAAGCAACTTATGTAACCTTTACTTTGCTGTCAGTTTTAGCAGTACGTGGTTATTCTAGCCTAAATATTCTTGCCAGAAGTGTTGTGTGCTTCACCAGAAGTGCTACAGCTAGCTGATGCTGCTGCTCTCTGCGATCGCAAATTACCAAACATTCTATGTAAATAACCATATGACAAAAAATTACATCAGTGGGAAGGTTTATGAATGTATGGTCTGTTCTGACCCTTCTTTTTCTTGACCGCACTCGGACTAGTCGTTAGCTCGTCAATGTGATCAGAATTAAACTTTCTCCAAACCGAGTTTGTTCAAAGAGCTATATACAACAGATGACTAAAGGCACCACCCTGCTTCAAACTATCCACAGTGCATCTTTAAGAGGACCACCTTGCGATCAAGTCGGTTGATTATGATCCTGTGGTTGGAAGTTGTAATGTTCAGCTTCTTAAAACAAAGACCAGACGTTCCACCTGTTGGACTCTGTAGGAAACAAATGATACCAACCATAATGAACAATTATTTTTAAACACAAAAAAGGAAGAATGAAAGAAAAAGATTATACTCACAGGTCGCCTGATGGAGTTTACGCTCTATAAGGAAAACAAAGCATAAGGATGTACATTTCAAAATAAAGTTCACTTACTGTTTATATATGTTATGTTTTACCTGGCTGGTTGGACATTTCTCCACAGTGCCAATAATAGTTTCTCTCGGCAGGTTGACCAAGATGTAGGAGCCGTTGTCATACAAGGCCACATTATTACCATCGAATGTGATCACACGCAAGTCTGACATCACAGTACAGCGACCTGGCACAAGAAAACGCCGATTATTTCAGCGATGTATTACTCATTATTCTGAAATGTAAAGTTTCAAACAGAACTTACACGGACACTGCCACTGTGGGCAGCAGGGGTCCGTATTGACGAGGACGGGCAGGCCCAGCAGACTGCACTGAGGGGCGACGGTGCTGTAGCGACAGTGGAGGGAGGAGTTGTGAAGAAGCAGCTCTCCGTTGAAACAAATCAGCTCGGCGCACTCGTCAATACGATGGGAGAAGGGAGGCTGTAAACACAATTCATGCTTTGTTTTAAAAGCTCGACAGCTGAATGAAAATATATGTATACTAGTGTTAGTTTTTTTTTTCTTAGCCAAAAATTCAGAAGGCATTACAAAGTGAATGCCAACAGATGCAAGTGTGTAACAACTGAAACTGCACGATGTAAACGCAGATCAAACGGCAAATGCTGCCTACAGTAATTTCCTCTACCGACTCTGCTGGAGACACAACCTCATCTCATACATCTTTAAATATTTTTTCCTTACAAGCTTTAGCCTTAAAGTAATGGCTAAATTATGTTTTTCACTCTGTCTGTCTTCTCCACTCCATATTCTAACAAAGACATTCTTAGAGGGCGAATCCTTCCGAGCGATTAAGAAAATGAACTGTCTGAACGGACAAGGAACACCCTCATTAGGAGGATTGCTTTGTAAAACACTGGTACTAGCAACACAATTAATTTGCTGTAACCATTAAAAAGCTAAATCACTTCATGTTTTATACTGTCCACACACACAAAAATAACACTGATGAACAAAATGAATCAATGAAGAAACTAAGGATCAGGCAGTAATTTTTATTGATTTTTTGGACACTCTTCTATTATGTGAACTAATGTCAGATACACTAAACTGTAATTTGAATGCAAATATAGTGTATGAAATTTATTCAGTAAGATATAGCTGACCATAATGAAGTATGTTTATTTTCTAAATAATTTATGGCACTGATAAAATATTGAAAACACAAAACCTGCTCAGATTACTCGTCCAGATTTCACCCACATATGTAGTAAAAGTAGAAAAGAACAGATGTATTTTCTGAATAAGACACTTCGATTTTATAGTCCTTATAGTGTAGAATCAAAAGCAGAAATGTGTTTGGTTTTTTTAGTAATGAACACGGGATCAAAGGAAGTAATCAGAAGAAGCAATTTTGGACGTATTTTCATGGACTCTCTTAATAACTGTCATTTTGGTGACCTTTTGGAAGGGCTTGAGGGGATGAGACACCATCCCTGGTCTTAGTAAATGGGTTCTGGTGGGTTGCTGCATCAAAAGAAGCCAGCTGATACAACGTTCACAAACGATCCTATTCTTTTGAATGACTCCTTACGATGAACGATAGGAACCGAATCACCGTAAAGAGCCATTTGGAGTTTTTTTTTCCTTGCAATGTATATTTTTATTTTTTTCAACTTCAACAAGAGAGACAACCACTCTTGCTTCGCTTTTTCATGGAAAACAGGCAAAGTGGTGGATTCCAGCAGCTCAGGGGCAAGGTGGGACAGGTTTCCGCTTCGCAACACACCACCCGTGTAATGTGATGACGTACCGTTCAAAATCGAACAGCTGTTTTGAACGGCTCGATAAAACAAATGGCTCCTCAAGATCCAGATCCCTTTAAAGAGCCATTTGTCTCATCTCTACAGCTGAGATGATTTGGGCATCTGGACATCTCCCAGGGGAGGTGTTTTGACATGTCCCATTGGAAGGAGGCCTTGGGGGCAGACCTGGGACTTGTAGATTATATATCACAATTCCCTTGGTAATGTCCTACAGAAAAGCTAAAAGAAGTAACTGAGAAGTTGGACAATTTTTGCAGTGAAGTAAATGGATGGATAGATGAACAAATGGATGGAAGGGCATAAACAGATATATCCATTATCAGAAAGACTTGTTAATCTTGAAAATTTTTAAACCACATAAAAAGATGAAAAAGCAGTGACCCTTACTGTGCATGGTGTGGTGGGCAGGAGGAAATGAGGGGTGGTTGGCGCTTCAGTTGTAGGAGAGGTTTCGGGACTCGTGATCATCTCTGTAGTGGTGGGCTCTGTGGTCGGTGGAGCCGTCGTTGGCTCAGTGGTGGTGGTGGTTTCTGGGGTGGTGGGAGTGGTTGGTTCGGGAGTGGTTGCGGACTGAGTGGTGGTCTCGGGGATGGTCGTGGTGGGGGCAGTCGTGGCGACTGTGGTGGTTGGCGGCGGGGCGGTGGTGGGGGACGTGGTGGGCGGCGGGGTAGTCGGTGTGGTAGCGGTGGTGGTGGAAGCAGATGTCGTGGGAAGGGGGATCGAAGTTGAAGGGACTGTGGTGGGTGCGGTGGTGGGGGTTGTTGTGGTGAGCGCTGTGGATAGAGTGGGCGTCACTTCCGTTGTGCTGAGAGTGGTTGGTTCGGGTGTGGTTGAAGGTGTGGTAGGAACAACCGTAGTTGAAGGTGCAGTGGATGTGGGTGGAGCTGTAGTAGTGGTGAGCTTGGTAGTTAATGTTGTGGTGACAGCTGGGGTGGTGGTGGTGGGTGTAGTTGTCGTGGGCCTGACGGTAGTGGAGGGGGTTGTCGTTGCTTTTGTAGTAGTTGTCATTCTTGTGGTTGTGGTGGAAGTCGTGGTTGTCGGCGCGGTCGTGGTTCTGTTGGACCGTGTCACAAAGGCGAAGGGCGTTGGAGTTGGAGGAAGGGACACGCCTGAGTGAAATAATCAGTAGCGTTAGCAAACATTCCTGCTCATTCAAAGCAATGAAACACAAGCATCGTAAACAGCCCGTCTGCTCTCACAGTCCTCTGGGTAGACGCATCTTCTTGTGACTTCATCCAGGATCATGTTCTTGGGACAACGGGGGAAGCAACCCTCCACGCTGTAACATGCAGAAACAGTTTCAGTCGCGAGCGGAGCACAGATTATGTCAGCGGCACAATCATTGCCTGTATTGAGCCAATCCTCTTACGGAGGCAGGAAATGGCAGCGCGTGGCATCCGGATCGCTGCACGTGTGGACACAAGGACTTGCGCAGGCCTGGTAACGCCACTCGCACATCATACGGTAAGGTATTATAAATGGACTTTCTGCAAAAACAGAGAAAAAATAACGAATAGTTAACATATGTGTGTAACAAATACATGTGTTTTTACAGTGAAACCTCCAAAGTCCAACCAAATTTTGCTATGCATCGCTAAAAACACTACACCTCTTTGCATTAAATCCAAATTCAGCATTTAGGATATTAACCGCATTTGTTGTGTACTGTGAATAACATGGTTCGCATCTAATATCACAGAACTACATTAAAATTACTGCATAAAGCATGAAGTTGATTATATTTGATCCACCTGTGAGACAAATAAGAGAAATAAAGTTCTGGGAGGTTCCTGTTTTTCAAAGGTCATAACTGTAAGAAGTGGAAGTTGGAGGTAAGATTAGTGGAGATATATATTTTCAGTCAGGAGGTTTGAACTCTAAAGTTTCTCTGATCAACCTTCCAGCATGAAGAACTGATGTGATTGGATTTTCACTCATATGGTTTCACCCTGCATTGGTTATTCTTTGCCCCGTGGAGTCAACATCTTTTAAATTCATCTTGTAGTTTGGATAATTGAGGATAATTTAATTGAGGAGAGAATTCCCACCTATGTTCTGTGCAACAAAGCTTAGCTTCTGTTGCAATGAGCTAAGCTCACAGTTCAAACTTAGCAACAATGAGCTAAGATTTCTTTTACTAAACGAGATGCAATTTTACAGCAATTTTGTTATTTCAGTTGAAAAATGAGTTTCTACTTAACTATGTCACTCTGTTCTTATTTCTTTATAAAATGATCTGCATTGAAGTGGTACATAAAAATTCTTGTATATCTATTAATACAGTATATATAAAACATGTGTCCTAAATATATTCACTTTGGTTACTTTTGAATTTTGACCTGTTTAGATTTGCTTTAACTAAAAGATAAATTTGAGATTTAGTAGTAACATTCAGTCAAAATCTTCCTGTGACTTCATCCAGGATCATGTTCTTGGGACGAGGGAAGCAGCCCTCCGTTTCTTTTACATTCGTAAAAGAAAAGTCTGATGTTTTTATCTAACAGCTGTGCAAAGAAGTAAAATGTATCTGCTGAAAATATTTAAAAATATATATATTTTATTTAGTAAAACTGACAGATTCACAAACTTTAACATGACAGAGAAGAAACAGCCATGAAGGTCATCAATGCTGCAAAGAGATACAGTGTCAAAATGAAAAAAAAAAAACTGCTTTTCTTATATCTAAAATGCAACATCTTTAGTGACAGATCAACAAACAACATAAACTGTGACATCCAAGAATTATTAAATTCAAAATCATTGCAAAAGAAAATGGAGACAAATCTTTGCTAAACTTTGTTATGATGAAGTTGAAATGAAAAACTTTGGTACTAAAATGTGATTTTCTTATTATTTGATCCTAGTTGGCAATTCTATTTTTAAGTAGGATATAAACTTGTTAATTAGTTAATTTAATGAATACCTTTTAACTTCAACTAATTGTTTGGTGACTTAGAATAATAAAATAGTGTCTGAAACATTGCATTACAAAGACCAGGATAAACAGATCTACAGACATTTGGCTGGATGCACATATATTTCAACATCTGTTAGAGAACTGCGATGACTGGGTTTGAACCTGAGAAGTGTTTACTGACACTCTCTGACATTGTGCATATAACACGTTGGGGTCAGCGTGTGCATGCGACAGAAACGGGCTCGTGTTTCTCACCCTCCAGGGTGAAGCTGCTGCTGGCCTTGAAGCCCTCTGAGCTGCCGTATCTCTGGGCTCGAGCGGCAGTGCGTGTGAGTGTCAGAAACATTCCCAGTTGGCCCACGAGTTCGAACGAGGTGTAACCTGGCAGAAACAGCCCCTGGTGCTGGACGAAGGTCGCCCTGCGGGCGAACTCTGCCCCTCGACTCCACTGCTCCAGCTGGAGGCGGCTGCGGCCCGACACCGCAAGAAAATAATTTGGTCTTTCTGCAGACTCCAGCGAAACGACAGGAACGCCTTAAAGAAGGAGGCAGAATTCCATTTAATTTACTGAAACAACACAAAGCGTCAGTGCGATCTAACGGGAACGTGGACGCTCACGTGACATCCTGTCCTTCCACAGGCCTTCGGTGATCATAAAGTTGAAGAGCAGGCCTGGAGCGGGCAACTGTCCTGGCTTCTCTCTTATGAGCGGAAACACTGAACTGCTGGTGTGATTCACTCCAAATATGGTGTCATTATAAGCAGCACTCGCCAACGAAAATGGGCCATCGCCTAACTCTGCGGAGATGTGAGACAACGAGACAGGAAATGAGTCTGGTGACGAGCCCCCTGGGAAACAAAATGAACCCATAAACAACAAGCAGAACAGAGGATCCTTCCTCTTACGTACCTTGGTTATAGTACTCACAGTCATAAGCTGAAAGAGAGGGAGGGGAGTGTTTTAAAGTATTTCAAAGGAACTGAGGTAAAAGCACAGATCTAAAAGAAGCATGTAAACAACCTAAAAAAATATAAAGGAATGTGCTGACACAGAGTGTGCTCTTTGCATGTGTCTCTGCAAGTAGACTTACGACAGACTGAGGGCGATCTCCAGTGTATCGTGACCCCCTGCTGACAGCATTTGTGCGCGTACGCAGCGATGGACGTGCAAAGGCACTCGCAATCTCCCCCGCGGTTGCAGTTGCAAGTGTCTGTCAGGCAGTTCCTATAAAACCAGGCCACATCAACCTGAAGGGCACGCACAACACGCAAGCACAGTCACAAACACAGAAAAAAGCAGCACGCAATCACAGACTTGAGGCGGGCAAAATCTCGCCCGGGAGAGGCTGTGTGTTGACGGGGCGAACGGTTTTCAATTATTCACACGGGAGGGATTGATGAGAGATCAGGACAAAGGAATGTGGGTCAACTTCTGGCGCAGAAAGTAACAGATGAGCTGCGAGATGAAGAGCCAAGACGCTGCACTGAGTTGGTCTGTTGGCAGGCGAGATGAACTCAACTTCACTCTTAAATGCAGACTTTGAAATGCACATAAACAACATGTGATCCCAGCAGTATTTCTGTAGAATACCGTGCTCAATTAATGACTTGATCACTGTTACATTTACATACTCTGTCGTATAACTAGAATAGAACTCAACAATACCACAATTTATGTTTCTTATTTTGCAGAAGACTCATATATCTTCAGCTTTTTCTTCTTCTTTCAGCTGTTCCTACTTCAGCATGTCATCCTCCTCCATCTCACTCTGTTCTCTCTGTGTCCATATGTCTCCTCTAACATCCTTTGACCAATACACCCACTGTCACTCCACTGTACCTGTCCCAACCATCTCAGTCTGGCCTCATATGATATAAATGGTATTAAAAACTGAACTGAAACATGAATAGCAACAACTGATAACCAAATTGGTTTTAAAAGTAAGCTCAGTACTGATTTATGTATTTATTCAGTGAAGCAAATACTAAGTAAAAATAAAAACAGAATACTTCTGTCTTTATGTGTTTTTTTAGATGCATCTAAAGCTTTTGACAGAGTTAACCACCATAAGTTGTTCCTTAAGCTGCAAAACAGAGGCATTCCTGCATATTTGATCAGGATTTTGCATTATTGGTATTCTCATCCGTCTATGAAAGTTAAATAGGACTCAGAGGTTTCTGAAGCCTTTTCTGCATCTAATGGAGTCAGACAAGGTGGAATCTTGTCTCCTGTTCTTTTTAACTTGTATCTTGATGATCTGTCTGTTGCACTGGGTGATTCTAAGACTGGCTGTATGGAGGGTAGCCATCTTGTGAATCATTTATTGTACGCAGAGGATTTGGTCATCTTGTCTCCTTACAGTGCTGGTCTGCAGCAGCCACTCAGAGTCTGCACTGGATATGGTGGCCAGTTTGACATCATGTTTAATCCTAAAAAGAGTGTTGTTATGATTTCCAAAACAAAGGAGGATCAAAAGATGAATTTTCCTCATTTTCATTTAGCAAATTAAGTTTTAGAAATTCATTGAGTTCTGTTAATCATGTAAAAATATCTCTACAAATTTTTGCTAAGGGATTTCTGTGATGATGATGCTGTAAAGCGACAGTGTTGTCAGTTATACATGCAAGCTAATATGTTGGCACGGAAATTTGGACTGTGTTCAGATGAGGTTAAAGTGTCCCTTTTTTAGAACGTATTGCACCTGTTTTCATACAGCTCACCTGTGGTGCAACTACAGTAAAACTATAATGAAGGAATCTTTCTCAGATGTCCATGATGTACGTACATCTGCTAGTCCAATGTTTGTCATATGTAACATTCCAACTTTTCATGCTCTACTGAGAAACCTCATGTATAACTAAGTGTCGTCTGGATGCATCTAACCATTTTATAATAAGAGCTCTGACAATGGCAACATACTGTATATTGATTTTAGATATACTTCAAGTATTGAAATAACTGTTTATCTGTGTCTTTTATGTGATGTTTTGTTTTATCTGCTTTTTGACTATTTTACTATTTTTTATTTTTCCTTTCTTTTTTACATATGATACGAACTACTTTTTGTCTTGAAATAAAGAATATATAATAGTGTTATTTAAGTTAAGCAAGAAACCTTATCATTAAAAAAAACCAACATGTCAAACTGGCATCTGACAGGAACAAGTATTTTATTAGTATTTCATTAGAAGTATTTCATTTTGAACCAAACATTTTTCTGAAGTCATAAGGCATCAATAAAAAAAGCTCAATTTTAAATGTTTGTTCTTGTTTGATTTTTTTCCCCAAAGAAAAACTCAACTAAATTAATGTTTTTGCGACACTAATTGTTTTTTAAGGAGATTTACAGAAAATAAAATAATTTTAAAAAAAACCTTACTAACGAGTTTACTCGTTGTGGGTTGCCACAACAAGTAAACTCGCACAAAAAAATTGGAAATTGTTTTACACCAGATATCATTGTTGACTCATCCTGGGTCCAAACTTGCACTCGCAAACTCCAAGACTGTAGCACTAACCACTGAGCTACCGCAGCCCCCACATTTACAACATCATATTCAGCCTCGGTTATTACAAAAGAAGTAACTTCAGTCATAAACAAAAATAATGTGTTGTTGATCAGGCTCTTCGTTAATTTACTTATTAGTAAGGTTCTTTTGCTTCATTCTGAAAACAGTTGGATTCACAAATGTCTGCAGTTTTTATTTTGTCGGTCAAAAGCTGAAACATTTGAGATTCACTGATAGGACTGGCTTTTATGTGTATAAACATGTGGCTCCATCTGCTGGTCATAAATAAACATGCAAGGCAGTTAAAACGTCAGCAACACTTTCAGTACAAAACAATTTTACTATGTGAACAATCTGCGTAGTGTATACCCTGTTAGGCTCATAAATATGAATATTACACTGTAAAAAATAAAGTTAGACTTTGCTTATTCTAGTAACCTAGTATGTGGTGTAATTTATCTCTAAGGAACAAACAATGGCCCTGCTTTGAATCAGTTAAGGGTTGTTCCCATAACCCTTCTCTAACCCCTTCTCTCTTGTTTCAAGAAAGATAACCTTTCTACTGCTGCATTCACTCGTTCCATGCGAGTATGTGTGTCCATTTTAGTGGCACTTACCACATTGTGACAAGGTGCAAATACATCACTGTAGAGGAGAGCACACTCCCTTTTAGCGTACGGCTGTCTCCCCAAGTCCCCTTCACACGGTCGCTCAAGTATGTAGTCACTTTCACACTAAAACACACACACAGAGAGAGAGAGAGAGAGAGAGAGAGAGAGAGAGAGAGAGAGAGAGAGAGAGAGAGAGAGAGAGAACGA